TTTATTTTTGCATTTTTTATTGTTTTATTTTATTTAAATGTTATTTTAGTGTGATAGATCAGTGGTTAAGACTAGCGACTTTATTGTGGAAGACTGGGGGTTTGACTCCCACATAGGGTGGAGCAACATGTACCATATGCCGACCCTTCAGCAGTTTATATGTGTGTGTGCGAAACAGACATGATTTATTTAATATTTTGATCTGCTGTCATGTATTTTTTGTCACAAAACAGCCTCGTCTCAGACAAGAATTCACAACTTCAAACTATTAAAAAATGTTAAAAAAGTTGTGAAAAGAACATAATGCTGCATTTACCAGGAATATTTAGTATAAAATAATATCAAAAGTTCTCTCAGTTATTATCATCCGCTCACATTGTTAATCTTTACAGTCTAAGAAAACAAGCAATGTGCTTTTATTCACTTCAACTCAACTTTATTAATATCGCACCTTTTATACGAACATACAGCACAAACGACAATATGCAAAACTCTGCAAGCTAAATTTTTTTTTAAAAGTTTAATATGAAAATAAATCAGTAAGTAAAAATCATGTAAAAGTCAAAAATTACATTTGAAAAGCTGAACCCATAACGTTATTCCATATTAACAGTCAAATCTAAAAGACAGGTCTTTTATTTCCTTTTAAAAATACACATATTACTCATCATCATCACCATCATCATCATCATCATCATCATCATATTTTTCTGCTCCTGAATCTAAATTAAATGTTTTCTCTCTCCAGGCCACGGATGTCAACCCTAGAGGAGCGCGCCCAGTGCAGCCCGCCACCAGAAGCGAAAAATGTGCAACTGAGAAGGAGTGGCCTTTCTGCACCTCTGATAACTGGGTACAACTCACTTCCTGCTCCATCAGCGCTGAGCCTTGTGTTGTTTCTTCATCCTATCACTTCATTTCATCCAGTCAGAGTAGTTGTGAGGGTGTTAAAGTTAAGTGTCTCATGTCCTCCAACAGGGCCCTAAATGCCCGTCGGGCTGCAGGATCCAGGGTCTGATGGACAAAGACGACCACGACTTGCTGAAGAAGATCGAGAAGATCCGCAGCCTCTTGGATCAGAACAAGGCCAACTACCGCAACGCCGACCACAACTCCAAAGAGACCTTCACCATCCTGAGGGAGAGACTCACCATCGACGCTGGTTAGTGTGTGTGTGTGTGTGTGTGTGTGTGT